GGAATAAAGTCATATTTTGTTCATTCGCTTTATTCAGTGTTCTGCTGGGCAGTGAACTCTTCAAAGAGATCATCACTGTTTAAAATAGCTGTCCTTGTCATACCATGATTCTTCACCTTGGTTTATTTTTCTTCCTGATGAAGGTCCATATGACAGAAAGCTTATTTGTTTATTTACTCATTATGTACCTTTTCTAGTAGAACATAGACACTGTGATTGTGGGCTTGGTCGGTCTTGTGGATCCACAAATGTGAGGAAGGTAGCTGCCTCACAGTAAGTTTCAATGAATATTAGTTAACTAAATGGCTTCTGATAGGATTAGTGGGATATACATGAATAGAATCTTACAGATTATCCTCAAATTACAGTAGCCATGATGAAGGGAGGGAGGGCGTTTAACCTGAAATTTTATTCATGTATTTTAAGCATCAATCATTGACTTAATTCCTTTTTTTCTTCCTTCCTTCATTTCTTTTTTTCTTTTTCTTTTCTTTTTTATTTTTTTTTGAGACAGGGTTTCTCTGTGTAGCTTTGCGCCTTTCCTGGAACTCACTCTGTAGCCCAGGCTGGCCTCGAACTCACAGAGTTCTGCCTCCCAAGTGCTTGGATTAAAGGCATGCGTCACCACCGCCTGGCGACTTAATTCCTTTCTATTGAGAATTCCTAAACAAAACACATGAGCACCAGCACAAGGACATAGACACAATCAGAAGTTGGGTAAGGTCTAGATCATTTGAAGGCAGCAGATCTTCTGGAAGCCTAATCATGTCTTTCTGTTACTAGGCGCTGGGATAGAATCCAGAAGTCCCATCATCTTTCCAGAAGCAGCCAACCAGGTAGCTTAGAGGATTGGGGAAGAGAGAAGCAAAGCAGCACCATTTTAAGCCATGACATTTTCGAGTAGTTCATCATGCTGCAGAAGGTAACTAACAGTTACAACAGAGGCCAGAAATCAAGAGAGGAAGCTTCACCGGGCTGAAGAATGACATAACCCTCTGTGTGTTCAGTAGGACAAATGCCTTCAAGGGTTTATATATGTAGATGCCTCTTGATGTGTTCATGGTCAGAACCCTTAAGAGAAATCCTAAAAGCTCCAGGTGAAGAAGGAATCCCAAGATTCTGGATGCTTGTAGGAAAAGAAACGATCCTCCAAGTCCCGGGATAAAGTAATTTTGAATTTTGAATTCTTGATCCAGCCCAACACTCATTTATGTATGAGACAGTGATGAAAAAAAAAAAAAAAAAAGGATTTTCAGACCTGCTAAGACTCTGAAAGATTATCATTTACAAGTGTTCTGAGAAAGACTGAGTTAAGGATATATTGCAACAATTGAAAAACTGAATCAGAATAGAGTAAAATCTGAGTTGTAAGAATTGGCAGGTAATTAAACCAGTGAGATGCTGAACTATTGTATTAATTTTTGGTGTGCAATATAAAAAAGTAATAGCAACTTATCTGGAACTAAAATCCCATAACTGTGACATTAAATATTCTAGGATGATGAAGTGCTAAGTGTCTTTTCTCGCTTTGGGAAAATGCAGGTATGACTTATTCCATACATTTACAGAAAGATACAGATGCAGAAAAATCTGATAAACATGTAAAGGTCAGCACTGGAAAAACACAACAAGATTCATGTGTTCTAAACTACAGAAATAAAATATATACCATCATAGGTTAAATGCTGGTAATTAGAAAACAAAAGATAACCCCAGGAAAGTAGGTCTATATCATGCCTTTATTACCTTCGTTATGGACTCTTTTCACAGCATTGCTTAAAACGGGGCTTTGTTGAGGGGTGAGTAGTTCAATCTAGCTAAATGTCGGTTACAGTGGAAAGGCTTAAAATGGGAGAAAGTTTTTGGGGCCTCAATCTTAGACAAAGAACTACATACAGGAGAAATAGTCTCCCCAGGGATAAAACCCCCTCAGCTGGCCATCTAACACCAACCGGTCATCCCTGTGATCATATACACATAGGTAATAGATTGAGAGTTTGTATTTATGTATTCAGAAATGTGTGTGTGTGTGTGTGTGTGTGTGTGTGTGTGTGTGTGTGTGTGAAAAAGAGGCCATGAATTTGAAAGGAGAAAGGGGGATGCATAGAAAGAATTGGAGGAAAAAAGGAGAGGGAGAAATGATGTAATTATATTGTAATTTTTAAAAACTTTAAAAAATTATTAAAAAACCAAGTGGCACAGACAACCGAACCACAGGAATGAAGACAGCAATGTCCCAGTTCTTGCAGCCCAGCACAACAGAATGAACATAAACGCTTTCTCTGCACTGTCCTCAAAGCTACTCTAAAGGGAACGACACATGGTTCTAGAAAGACCATGAAGAGAAATGGGTGACAGAACTTTGAAGCTAAAAATCAAGTTAAAATTGATTCCCAGAACCCACATGGTATAGCTCACAGCCATTTATAACTCTAGTCCCAGAGGACCTTACTTCCTCTTCTGACCTCTGAGGGCACCAGACATGCATGTAGTACACACATACATGTAGACAACACCCCCATTCACATACAATAATAGATAATTAAATTAACAAATAAATTAATTTATTAAAAATTAATTAAATGACAACCGACCTGGCAGTTTATAGGAAAGCTCACATGGAAGCTGAGATCAAAACTCTAGATGGAGTCCTTGAAACCGTTCCTTCAACAGCAGGACCTGTGACTTAGGAAGCATCCAATGGCCATGGCCATGCAGATATGGCATGACCCAATGTATGGTATGTACACCTGTTTGGGGTCACTCAGTAATGAAACCCACCAATGAAGAGGCTTGTGCTGTTTCTGTACCTGTCTCTTTCTCTGTCTCCAACTGTCTCCGTCTTTCTCTCCCACACACATACATATAATTGTACATATGCTGAATTTAACATGAGTCCATAATACCTCACTTTGACTTTGCCTGCATAAGAAATAAGGAGAAAACTGGGGAAATCTATTGTGAAAGGCAAGAGATGAAAAAGAATAAAAATACCTGTAATGAGATTAAACAATAAAGGGACAAGAAGGCAAATATTTTTAATTAACATGCCTGAAAGAATATGTGAAGAATAGTATTAGTAAACCATATAGTTTATTAAAATAATAAAGATTATAAAGGAATGAGAAGTTGAAGGTTGACAATAAGATAGCAGAGACATGTAGCTCTTAGTCTCTCAAGACAGTAAATTACCAAGAGCAGAGATTTCCGTTCCCACTGCAAAGAAGCTGACCCTATTGGAATTACAAAGCACCCATGTCCCTAAGAGGAAATAAAATTATTAAAAAGTATTGACAAAGTTCTGGAACTGACATAACAATCTTCAAATGGAAATCTATACCTCAAATGAATATATTTAAATGTATTTACTAATCTTACTTAATTTTCCTCCTTGGTTCACAGACAAACTGTTCCAAGTTGTCCCTGAGTGTAACAAGTGTAACTATGTGGTGGAGTTCAACTGATAGGATGCGCACAGTTGTTGCTATGCTCTGTCTTAGAGTTCCTATTGCTGTGAAAAGACACCATGACCATGGCAACTCTTACAAAGGAAAACATTTAATGGGGTGGCTTACAGTTTCAGAGGTTTAGTCCATTATCATGGTGGGACATGGCGGCCTGCTGGCAGACATGGTGTTGGAGAAAGAGCTCAGAGTTCTGCTTCTTGATCTGCAGACAACAGGAATCGAACTGAGACACTGGGTGTAGTTTGAGAATATGTGAGACCTCAAAGCCCAACTCCACAGTGACACACTTCCTCTAACAAGGCCATACCTACTCCAACAAAGCCAGTCCTCCTAATAGTGTCACTTCCTATGAGCTTATGGGGGCCAACTACATTCAGACTACCACAACCATCAAACAGATAAAATCATAAAAATTTAGATGGTGATTAACATTAGGAAGAAACTACTGAGAGAATGTTCTTTGGAGATGATAGTCAGAGTCAGTCAGATTGTCAAAGGCCTTGCAAACCTCCCAAGGGTGATTGTCTTAAATGCTTTTATTTGTTTGTTTGTATTTATTCATTTTTTAAGGTTTAAAAAATGTGTTTGGGGCTATAAAGTAGAGAGTGGATTGGAGTAGACGATAAGTAGCTGGTAAGAAATCTGAGGGAAAGGGAGGATTTAGGATAGTTTTTGCAGCTCATGAAATGTAGAGTCAAGAAGGGAATTTCTGCTAGAGGTAATATTTTAGTAGTTTTCAACACCAAACTTAGCAGCCATCCCTTTATGCTCTCTTTGCAAGGATCCTGTTTGCCGGACAACTTCACTGCTTGTAGTAGGAAAACAGACTTTCTTTTCAAGAAGTATTAACCATGGTTGATTATTTTAAGTGCTGAGACACCCTTAGATTTATCTGAGGATGAACTGTCTAATTGAGATTTCTGATTGAATCCCTGCTGTGGCACAGAACTCTTATCCCAAAAAGAAGAGATGAACTATTACACTTGGTTCTTTCATTGGTTTCTACAAGAGACTGTTCGAAATGAACTGCAATTTTGTCTGCTGCTTTGTATTAGAACAAAGAAAGTTGTTCGTTCCCTAGGCTACTAGGGCGTGTTGAACAAAGCAAAATGGAGCAGCAGTTTTCTCTGAATTTATTTTAAAAAAATAAAGAGCAGATACTCTGCTGGTAGAAAAGGCAATAAGAATGCCCGCTCATTCAGTTCTTGAAAGGGACGGCTAGTGTGCTTACAAACAGGCCCTGCATCTGCTTCTTCTGAAAGCAGGAATAACACAAACGGGGGAAGCATTTGACTCCAGAGCCCAAGCTGATGCTGTCACTGAGATGAGGTGTCACACAGTCTGTCTGGGCTAGAAGTCCTTGGACAGTTTCTAGTCTCGTAGATCTTGTGTGAGAAACAACCAGACATGGCAATGGCTTCACAGGGCAGTGGGGTCATCTGGCCTTGGGGCTGTTATACACACTGACAAGCTGGGCAGAGTTCTCATTTTGAAATATCCAGGATTGGGTGGGGGGAACTGGTGTGCGCTCCGAGTCCGCCGATAGAGGGGCTCCTCGGGAGCACCCGGCCGGACCTGCGTGGGTCTCTGTGTTTATCCATCCTTGGGTTCCTGGATTCCAAGCCTCCTGGATCCCTGTCTCAGCCAGTAGCTGAATTACTTCACCTGCTTTCATTCTCCATGTACTAGGAATCTGAGGTCCAGGAGTATCAGCAGCAAAGATGTCTAACTAACCACTCCCTCCTTATCCTGGAGGCCCTATAGCCCCACTGGAGGATAAAGTGAAGCCCCACCTACTTCAGGCTGTACCTCCCCAGTGATGATGCAGCCGCCACCAGGCATGCTACTACCCTCTGCTGACATTGCTCGCCCACCTTATGAGCCACTGGGTCATCCAATGCCTCAGCCTGGCTTTGTACCCCCTCACATGAATGCAAATAGAGCCTACATGCCTGCAGGTTTCTACCCTCCTCCAGGCCCTCACCCACCTATGGGCTATTATCCATCAGGACCCTACCCACCAGGACTCTATCCTGGCCTTGGGGGCCACACGGCCACAGTCTTGGTCCCATCAGGGGCAGCCACCACGGTGACAGTGCTACAGGGAGAGATCTTTGAAGGTGCACCCATGCAAACAGTGTACCCCCACTGCCAGCAGGCAATCACCACCAAGATCTCCTATGAGATTGGCCTGGTGAACTTTGTACTGGGTCTCTTCTGCTGCTTCATGCGGTGTGATCTGGGCTGCTGCTGGATCCCCTGCCTCATCAGTGACTTCAAGGATGTGACGCACATGTGTCCCAGCTGCAAAGCCTACATCTACACATACAAGTGCTTGTGTTAACGGAGCTAGACTTAGACTCCCCCATCTATCAGTCTGGCCCCATGTGCTTTTGCCCCCATGCTCAGTGGTCACTAACCCTCAGACCCCACTTAGGGTTGGAGGTTCTGCCACTGTCCCCTGGAAATCTTGTCCTCACCTTGCCCTTCCCTGAGCATCCAACTCTTCCAGCAAAAATTCCATTGGATTTAAGGCCAAGAGCCAGGGGTTGGCATGGGGGTGGCACTGATCTTGAGTGTTGCTTGGGCATTTGTAATCCAGAAGATAAGCTGGAGAGGGTCTCTCACTGGGGTCCTCATTCCTCCTTTCTGCATAAGGTCCAGGCCTGGTCCTTCCTCTTCCTGGGACAAAAGCACCCAGAGCATTAATAGGTCCCAGACTAGGGCCTACAGTGAGGGTTGTGCCTGGAACCACAGTTGCTTCTGACCTGCTGGAATGAGGTCAGGGCATCACCTAGAGTTAAGTGGACCCAAGCAAGACAGGGACATAAGGCCTGGGTTTATGTGGAGTATGTTGTCTGGGGGTGCCAAAGGTGGATTAAGAAAGAAATAATGACTGTCAACTCTGGGCCTCAGAACTCTCAGGTATGGAAACCCAGGACTTCTACCACTGTCCAGGAGCTACCCAAGAGCTCCCTAGTATAAGGCAAAAACAACACTGAGCTAGTTAAAGCCCTGGTAGCTAAGAAGAACTTGCCCTTATTCTCACCTAGCTTACTTTGAGTCAGTCAATGTGCTCTGTGAACCCTTACATCTTCTGGGGCCAAAAGGAATGAATGCCCATGAGCCTGTCCTGGTTACTTTTATGTCTGTGCTGTGTTTAGGTGAAACTTCTGCCTGGTGGCTCACTGACAGAGGGCCGATCAGAAGAGCCTCCTTGTAGGGTCATTGGTCTCTGGAGTAGGTGCCAGTCTTTTTGCCATAGTTGACTGGCACTCAGGCTCTGAACCAGGTTGGCCTTGGGAAAACGAACCATCTCAGCTGTGAAGGTGGTGAGCTCCCCTTTCAAGAGTTTCCTTGCTGTTTTACCATTTTTTTTCACACAAGACTTTTACAGGAATAAAAGTCTAATAAAAATATTTAACTTCAAAAAAAAAAAAAGCGCAATATCCAGGATTAAAAATCAGGGAAAAGAGTTGGTTTTTGGTTCACTTCTGGTTTACTTTTAATTAATTTTGTTCTAGTTTTGGTTCAGTGGGCTTTTCTATGAAATTTTGGTAATGATTATGGAGATGTATAAGCTAAAGTTAACTGGATATACAGACTTTCACTGTCTTTGTGATGTACTAAAGTGCCTCCCATAAATTAACAGTTTATTCTTGTTTGCATTTAATTCAAATGCTTAGTCTCTGGACATGTTTATAAATTAAGCAAATGGCCATGGGTTTGTATAGATAACTATTCATCTGCTCAACCAAGGTTCAGGTCAACTCCAGATTTAAGGAGAAAAACACATCATTATTGTCTAGAGTCTTGGTCATTAACTGTGTGACTTTGTGGCATGTTGGCTTGCCTCTACTAGATGTGCCTCCCATCAGTCTGTCTATTCTCAGTCTGTGTGTGTGCAGCTGCTGGAGTGTTCTGAGGGCAGGGAAAGGATAAGACTCACATCTCTAACTTAATTGATACTACTTATTTTCACAAACAAGGACAGAAAGTCCTTGAGCCCTTGGGTGGGGAGACAAACAGAGGTGTGGTGGGCTTAGTGAATTCTGGATGTTCTGTCTACTATATTCCTGGTGGGTTCTTGGAAGCCCAGAACTTGCTCTAGAGTAAGAATTAATATGCAGGTTCTGTTTACAAACATAAGACATGGATTCAGGGGCCTCATTTCTCATCAAGGGATCAATGTCCAGAAGAGATGTTGTGTTCTAGTGAATGTATTGATCTTATCATAAAGCAAATGAGATACCCATAAACTCTGAGGATAGGACACTCAGATCTTCCTGAAGTTTTTAACCTATGAAATTGATGACACAGTACAATAATTTAGAAAAATATTTAATAATTTTTTCCTTAGAAAAATCACTGGTAAATTAGACAAGTGGAATCTTTCCTGATGAGATATTTTGGACATCATTAGAGAAATTTTTACTTGTATTTATCTCAGATAAAAAAATGACTCTTTCCTCTGAGTGCAATGTTGATTCTCATACATCCAGGCTTTCCTTATTTTCAGCAGAAACATAGAATCAAGATTAAATGTCATAGTTTGTCATCTTGCTATATTTTCAGACATTGAGAGTGGTTGAATACAATGTGGACAAATAAGTAGTAATGATTCTTAATGACTGAATCACGATCCTGTTTTCCCCAGCATTCCCTGATGAAATGCAGTTTTGCCAATAAGTCTTTGCACAGGATTCTCTGGCTTTTTGTTTTGAAGCAAAAATAAATAGAAGTCATGTGTCTGAGTAGTTGTCGAATATGCCTTCCTCAACATGCTCTCAGAAACACATAAAATTAATGGCTATCCACAAAGGTGTTATAGAGTAAAATCTAATTAAAGACTGTTAGGAATATTTGTCGCTTGTTTTCCTGTTTTCTTTCTCTGTTCTGTATTGTCATGGGATGCTGGTGTAATCTGTGGAGTTATTTTTTCTCTTCTTTTGGTCCAGGATCTAACAACATCATTAAGAAGAGAAGCAAAAGACAGAAACCATCTATTTATATGTGTGGAGACTGCCAGCCTTGGTGTTGATGAAGCTGTGGGACAAACAGGGCTCTCCTACATTCTTGTTAGGACTGTGAAATGAAACAATTAATTTGGAAAAAGGTCTGACTGTTTTTGTAAAACTAAGATGGATGTATAATTTGTCACTTGACCCAGTGATTTTACTTCTAGGTCCTGACATAAAGGAACGAAAAGACTATAGCCAATGTTTATTGCAGTTTTATCTAATAACAACTCTGAACTGGAAACAAGCTGTGTGATTATTAACAAGATAAAGTACAATATGTTCTTGCAGTGGACTAGTACAGCACTAAGCAAACAACACACACACACACACACACACACAAAACAAAATAAAACAAAACGAACTGCTGATTCATACAAGCACTTGAATGAATGTCAGAAATTTTATGCTGAATAAGATAAGCCTTACAACAAAGATTCAGTATAATTCTGCTTACACGGTGTTCTAAAATGGGGGGAAATGAATTTGTGGATAGGAACGTGAAGCCAGGGATGAAAGAGTCTCTAATTGCTGTACTCTGAAGGCTGTTGAGGCATGAGAATTATAAAATTTAAGGCCATCCTGGGCAACATCACAAGACCTTGTGTCAAAAGTGAAAAATAAGAGGCTACCTTCTCTTTGTCAGTGCACAAATGGTGTCTTCCAGCCTGCTGGTGACCTGAAGGCAAGGGAGCCTGCTCAGATGTGTGGGTTCAACAGAGCAGGGAGCCTCCTACTGTGCCTGAGGCTGTACACAAGGCCAGGTAAAGAGGCTTGCCTTTGGGTGACTGTCCAGTTTTTGGTATACCTGTCCTGGTTGTAGGTGCAGTGCCCGTGTCTTCTGCTTGGTTGACTCAGGTCAGGGCATCCCTGACACAGTCAGTAGGCAACATCAGTCTGGTAAAGGATGGATGCACCTCTTCCACATTTTCTGAATTCTAGGGTGGCTTCCTCTTCTTGGACAAGGTGACTAGGGTGTCCTGGTGGTTGTAGGTTCTTCTAGGTCCCAGGCCTAACACTCTTCCTTCTTATCTCAACAACAGAGACTTACTAGCCATGTGGCATTATAATTACCAGATCTAGAGTCTGCAGAAGCTATATATTAAATAACTTCCATTACCCTGGGGGAACGTAGTACCAAGAAGGGAGAGTGTTCTCCTGGGCCTGAACATAGAAAATAGTCATGATAATAATGCTCTTTCACCTTGTACCAAATGCCAAAAATACCTAAATACCTTCTACCACCAATTGATTTATGAATTCATCTGCCACGACAGATGCCAGACGACTTTTCTCAATTGATAGATGAAACAGCAAGAAAACAGATGAAAGTTATGGCTTTTAGAGTGTCACTGCTGTGCTGTAGCCTGAGCCCTGAACCTGCAGATCCTTTGTTCTTGTCGGCCTACTGTTGGGGAACTTCCCGAGGCTCTGTGTGGTCATCTGTATCTGTCAGAGCACAGAACAGAGACTTTTCTGCTCATGGTTAGTTGCTTTTCAGATGCTAGGTGGAAAGTTGAGAATATCCAGCATTTCACCTGACTCTCTTGCTCTGAGCTATCTAGAAAGTCCATTATGACTGTCAGCTGGTTTTTTTTGACAACCTGGGAAGGTGTTACATTATCTTTGCTACGTTTTGGGGGTGATGATAGTGTTATATATCTTGAAGCAGGGTGATCATCATTTGTCAAACTCATTGGCATACATTTAAGATTTTTCTTCCCATCATGTAGAATTTATTCCCCAAAACTATAAACCAATATTAAACTCTAATATTGGCCAGGTTGAAGTTTATTTCTTTCTTTCTTTCTTTTCTTTTTTTCCCCAGAGACAGGGTTTCTTTGTGTAGCTTTGTGCCTTTCCTGGAACTCACTTTGTAGCCCAGGCTGGACTCGAACTCATAGAGATCCACCTGCCTCTGCCTCCTGAGTGCTGTGATTAAAGGCGTGTGCCGCCGCCGCCGCCGCCGCCGCCGCCGCCGCCGCCGCCGCCACCACCACCACCACCACCACCCAGGTTGTAGTTTCTTAAGGGTGAGCCATGCTGATGCCAGCAATTTAAGATTTGTTTTTAAAATTTTTAATTATGTGTGTGCCTGTGACTCTGTGAGTGGGTATGCGCATGGGAGTGCAGGTGGCCATGGAGGTTATTGGATTTCCTGGACACTGGAGTAGCAGGTGGTTGCGAAATGCCTGACGTGGGTACTAGAACCAAATTCAGGCCCTCAGTAAAAACAGTGTGTGCTCTGAACCACTGATCCATTTCTCCAGGCCCAACTTAGAAATATTAAAAATTGAGATGATGATAGGTTGTTACAGGAATGTAAAAATTGACAGAAGTAAGATAAAAAGCAAATAGAGAAAAATATTTGTAATTGGATATATACTGAAGCATATGGGTGGCTCACCCTGGTTATTTTTACTATTAGTGTGTGTGTGTGTGTGTGTGTGTGTGTGTGTATGCACATTCCTGTGTGAGAGTGTGGGCTCTCACATGCCATCATGTGTGTATGGAGGTTAGAGGACAATGCCCGACATCCCCGTTTTTGGAGGCAGGGTCTCTGTTGTTTGCTCCTGTGCTGCATACTCCAGGTTTTCTGTCCCTCAA